TGTGTTGGAGAGATGGCTCAGCAGATAAAGAGTTCTTGTTGCTCATGCAGGGACCCAGGGATGATTCTCAGCACTGACATGGTGATTCACAAGAATCTGTGACTCCAGATCATAGGCTCTGACACCCTTTTCTAACTTCCTCAGGCACCAAGGCACCAAGCAAGCAAGTGGTACATGTGCATGCATATATGGAGGGAAAGCATTCATTTACATAAAATAAACGTTTTAAAATAAAAGTAGATAAGAAACATGAATATGGGTATATTAAATAGAGGGCTGAGGCGAGAGCTCAGGCGAGTGCTTGCCTTACGTGCATGAAGGTCTGCGTTTTCACTGCACACAAAAATCAGGCAGGAGTTACTGAACGTTACTGAACATTCCTCACCTATCCCCCATATAAATAGGAAGGAAACAGCACTGTGCTCCAGTGGTCATCTGCCCCCCTGGCTAAGCGAGTTAAGGATGGACAAGACTATTTCTGCCTGTTCTCTGGGCTTCAGCTTAGCACAGGCCCCATTGCTTGAAATTGCTCATTTGAATTACTGTTGTCTGTACATCCCTGTGTTCCTACTCAGTCCTGGACCTCACCATAGCCCTCCTTTGCAGCTCACCAGTCAGCTGACTTCAGTTTGCTATGGCTTTCTAACTGGGTTCAGTAATATCTAGGTAAGCACGACTCTTTCCCATTTGTACCAGCTCGGTCTGGATGCAGTAAAACAAACATCTTTGAACATAGAGGTTTATGTAATCCTTTGTCGGTGGTCTGTAGCCTACATATATACATAGACACAATACTGTGTGAAGCATAATGATCTGATACACAGTTAACACTGGAAAAAGAACATGTGTTTGGGCTGAGGACATTGTTGCTCAGTTGGCATGTGGGACACGGTATGGTGGATGACCTGCTACCTAGTGAATGAGGCCAGCCTGTACAAGGTCTTTGCCATCTGCCAGCTACAAAGGGAAATCAAGGCTGCTTGTAGTGTTGCAGCCAATGAAGCAATGTAGCTTGTGAATTTAGTATTATTCAATGGATTCTGACATTGTGGAAATACACAACCATGTTTTGTCTGAGCCCACAGAGTTCAGCCTAGGAATTTGGATTTAATAAATGGGCCAGATGATAAACCTGTTGTTTAGCAAGCACTGCTTAACCCAGGAGAACTCTTGTCATAGCATGGAAGAGTAACGTAACGCTATTGGCCTTCCCTACCTCTCCTGGAACCATCACTAAAGGATCTTTAAATCCCACAGTTGGAAGAGACAAAACTGCCATTTTCTCACTCAGCAGACAGGCCCTCTAAGGTGAGGAAAACTGCGCTCCTGTGTTGACCTTTAAACAGCAGGCTACGTTGAGGCTTTTAAGATTCTAAATGGGTCAAAATTTGGAGAACTGAAAGCATGAAACTGTTCTTCTGGGTGTAATGTTAGCCCGGGGAAAAAACTCCTTTAGACCAAGACAGAAATTACTAGTAACTAGTTATTTTAACGGTAGTTTAAAATAGTTATTCGGCCTTGCCACACTATCTTACTGGAAAATGAGACTGCCTCCGTGCGGACTTTTTTTCTTTTTTTTTCTCAAGTGAATTACAGTACCCACTTTCCCCTTTAACTTCAACCTGAGCATACAGCTCCAACAACAAAAAAATAGAACCAGAAGGGGAAAGCGCGCTGATTGATGTACCTTCCAGCCAATCTGCGACGGAAGGAGAGCGCGCGAGCAAGGTGCTGTCCAATCAGCACTCAGAGGTGGGGCGGGACCTTCCGCGTCCCCGCCCCGGGGGTGGCGGATCGGAGAAGGAGCAAAGATGGCGGAGTGAGGCGTTCCCCGGCAGCCGGGCTCCGGGCCCGGGCGGGCCTCCCGCGAGAGGCAGAGCACTTGTGCGGGGCCGAGTGAGGAACCTTAGCACACAAGATAAATATTTTCGTGACCTTAGGTGCTTTTATATTCAGCTCAGAATTCTGAACTCAGGACTTGGCAACACTGAAGAGGTAGAGACAGAGCCGGTGGTGGTGGTGGCGGCGGCGGCGGCGGCGGCGGCGCACGCCTTTAATTCCAGCACTCGGGAGGCAGAGGAAGGCGGATCTCTGTGAGTTCGAGGCCAGCCTGGTCTACAAAGAATGTCTGTGTTGTCTTCTCAGTGGGGCGTCCTGGTTCTTTGATCCAGCTGCTTCCCCTGGTGAAATGCGGGTGTCTTTCTACACACACCTCCACGGTTTGGAATGGAGAGACTGCCTGCCTGCCTTTCCTTAACGCCACCTCAGCAGAGAGGAGTCTGGGATGCAGCTGTCGTGTTGAGTCCAGGAGAAACCAACTGGCCTGAGGCTTCTGCTGCAGTTCCTTCATTAGAAAGACACCGTTTGCAAGTGGAAGGAAGGTGTTTAATTGGAAACAGGTGCTTAGGTTGTGCATCGTGAGTTCTTCCTTTAAAAGCTCCAAACAACAAAACTAAACAAATGCCAAGTGTGGGTGACTTCAGGTTTGACTTCATTTCGTTTGGTTTTTAAGTCTGCCAATTTTAACACTATTATAAGCACAGTTGAGACTGCAGTGGTAAATTCCAAATATTCATTATAATTGGAGGTGAAAGAAACATTATCTAACTCCTAGCTCACCCTTGACAGAATTTCCTGGACAAAAACAAGTCTCTGTTATGATAAAAGCAAAAGTCAAGATTTCAAGGTTGCTTTCCTATGGGAGTGGAACCGTTGCAGTATGTGTGCAGAGTCACATTTTTATGTGTCTAAATCCACATTTTCTAACAGGATTTTTCTCTTGGAGAAGAAAGCTGTCATTTATGAGAAGGCTTCAGACAGTTTGATGGTGTTAAGTGTTTGAGCTTTGTCTGTTTTGCTTTGCTTTTTTCATCCTCAGGAAGGACCAGCTAGGCCTGTGGCTAGTTCGGAGTGGGAAGAGAACAGGCTGGGGTGATGCTTGCCTCATACGGCCAGTGCTTGGGAGGCTGAGGCAGGAAGATCAGAAGTTCGGGTCCAGCTTTGGCCACATGGTGAGACTGTGTCAAAAACAGCAGAAAAGAAAAGAAAAATGAGCCCAGTAACACCACTCTTTTGTTTTCCGAGAGTATTTTCTTTTTTGCAATCTCATGTAGCACATGAGACTTCGGTTTTCCATGTGGCTGTGGCTGAAGGAAAGTGACATGTGTTATGTGATGGACCCTATGGTATAACTCGCCTTCCACTTTGAACATACAGGAGTGAAGGAAAATCACTCAAAGGGGCGTGTAAATCCTCTTCTGAGAAAAAGAAGCCGCAATGTATAATGTAGCAGCATCTGACTTTAGATTTTTACATTATGTAGTTGCATTTGTTATAAAAGCATAAATAACCTTCATCCCAAGATGGGTACTTGGACATTTATTTTTCTAGGTGATAATGTAATGTAAGGCTGAAATTCTGGGACTCAGGTAAATTTTCCCAGTTTGAATTGAACTTTCTTACCAGAGAATGGATCTCAGAAGCAATGTTCCCAGTCCTGTGTTCGGTTCACTATACTCTTGGAAGAAATTCAGGATCTGAACAAAACTTCAAATAAGAAAAGCGGGTCAAATAAGAAGTGTGGACCTTGTTCCAAGTCACTGTAGATTTAGAGGAAATTCAGGTTCAGGGTTGGGAAGACCTTGAGAAAACTAGTTCCAATAAGAAGTGATGTGTGCTCATTTTTCCTTTAACAGTTATGAGGAACCATCATGAAAATCTCTCTTTGCTTCCAAATCAACAGAAGTCTGTTTTATGGGATGCCAGGCTTGTACAAGGGAGTGAACTGTTGTTTTCAGTGGTTGCCAATAGAGAAGGAAGTTTAAGGTTGCTCGAGTTAGGAAAGGTGCTGTTGGAGCTGATTTCTGGAACCATTTCCCAGTGCTGTGAAGTTGAGTCATAAAAATGATCAAAATTAGGAAATGTTGAACATTCTAATGGTTATTGAGATTGGGCAGCAAATTTGAATTTATACAAAAGCTTTTTTTTTATAAAATACTTATTATAAATAACCTTTTAATGAGAGCAAATAATGGTAAAACACTAGAGAAATACAGAGTGAAAGGTAACCTAAATTGCTAGGCTTGGTAGCCCACACCTGTAACCACAGCATTTTGGAGGCTGAGGCAGGATGATTGGCTACAAGATCAAGGCCAGCCTGAATGACAGACCCTGTCTCAAAATGAAACAAAAATATAACCCAATTTTTTCTCTTTAAGTACCCCAGCCACTTATATATTCATTTAGAAGACAATGGAAACTAGCTGGTGACCGAGCATCTCATAGATGCCTTTGGGCAACTTTGTGGGATCTGGCCCTCAGGCAGGGCTGTCAACCCCAAGGAGGTGCCATCTTTTGCTCCAGATGCTTCAGGTTTGTAGCTTAAACCTTCAGGTGTTGAGTGTGCTTTATCAAAGATGCTCCTGTGTCCTGCATTGTTAGCACCAGATGGCATTTCACACCTGGGGACATGCCAGTTGTGGTTGCCTGGTGTGCGATACATTTCCACTTCATAGTCTTGCTTGGGTTTTCTTACTAGCAGCAGAAACTACCAGTTTAGAGCTGTGCTTCCATCTGTATCCGGGCCTCCTCCCTTCTCCATGTAAGCTGGCAGTTTTTCTTTTGGAGTTACTAAACAAAAACGGGATATGTGCAATATAAATATATATATATGTATATTTTAATACTTGTGGACAAGTGTTACAAGTTGTTTAAGAACAACAAAATCACCAATGTCTTCCATTTTGAGATGTGTATAGTTTTGTAAGCAGTAGTGCTTGGTAGCATATTGTAGTGCCATGTTAGAGGTTAGTGCATGAATTTAGTATAATTTTAAACTTCAGGATGAAATATTGATAAAAACTAGTAGTGTAAAAAGAGTGGAAAATCCTAGACCTTTACCTTTTTTTCTTGTATGAATCTGTGATATTCTCCCTGGGGATAGGAGATAAAGGCCAAAACAACTAATGTCTGAACAGAAATGTGGGTTCACATTGAGAAACATTGTGCTTAGGGAAATGTTATTAGCCTTTCACAAGGTAGCTAGAAATAACTGCCTTTGCAGCTTTTCAGTCCTCAAAGCAAGGCCTCATTTCATGATTAAGTCTTGCTCTCTTAGTTTGAAGCTAGCTTGTTCTTATATTGTCTGTATTATATGTCTTGGGTTCATTTTCCCTATTTTGTGTCCAGAGAGTTATTTTCTATTTTGCATGTCTGAGATGCTATGCTAATTGCTTTGGAATGTTTAATCTGTGGCCATTTCCTTTCCTGTTTGCAGTATGTGTGTTAATTGCAGAACCTTGTCAGCAGTTTGGAGTATCCTGTACTCTAGGCTTTTTTCTACTTTCCTTATGGAAATAAAGTAGTTGCTTTGTTTTAAAAAAGAAAGTTTTCAGTAAAATGGAATTCCTACCTCTAAAAGCTGCCTAGGAAACTTGGGAGTAACAGTTTTCTGGAGTGTTGTAGGTTGTTATTTTTTGTTTTGTTTTGTTTTAATTTTAGAATTAGAGCCTGCCAGATGTGGTGGTGCATTCCTGCAATCCCAGCATTTGGGAAGCTGAGTCAGGAGGATCGGGGGTTCAAGGTTATCCTTTACTGTATAGTGAATTGAAGGTTAACCTGAGCTACATGAGATCCTGTCTCAGAAAACCAAAAGAAAAGAGAGTCTAGGACTTATTAACATGTATTACATTAGTGTGATAGAAAATGTAAAACTGTTTTTAATGTGACTTTTTTTCCCACAGATTAGGTGTGAGTCTAGTAAGGGACCCAGAAATGGATCCCTGTAGAGTAGAATATCAAGTAGGTGGCGAGCGCCTGGGAGAATCTGCTTCTGAAAAGCATTTCAATTTAAGAAACAAAGGAAAAATTAAAAAAACTTGAAAAAGTAATGCATATAAAGTAGCACAGTATATAGGAAAGGATATTTCCTATTGCAAAAAATAAAAGCCATAAATGAACTAAAAATGTTGAGGAGGTGGAATTTAGTAGCAATAACAGTTTCTCATGTATAGTAATTTGTGTTCACAGAGGTGTATGGTTGAGTACTTACTATTTGAATTTGTGGACCTCTGCAGTCTCACAGAGTCCACAAAAGGAAAATACATCCTAAGTTAAAAAGCATTTAAAACTATGAATGTATATGAATATATCTTTGTTTGTATATGAAAATACCAACTTTCATATATGTGTTAAAGACCCTATTTTGTTTCCCTAGAGTTTACAGTTGTTGAAATCTTTCTAGTGCTTAATCCGGAAACACATGTACTTCTACAGTCCCAGTGAAGCCAACATGTAGGGGTCTTCCTTAAATTGTTTCTATTAATAGTTATTTACTGTGTAGAATGATGTATGCTTTGTAACCTTTGTTCATTGGCTTCCTGGCTACTTTTCCAAAAGGAAAAGGTTGTTTTTGTGTGTGATTGGTGTGTCAGGGGAAGCGGGGGAGCCTCAAGAACTTGCTGGCTTTTCCTTGTACTTAGGATGAAGAAAGTTAGGAATTAAAGGTAAATAAAATGACTGGGCAGTACCCAGGCTGGGGGTTGTCTGTATGTCTGATACATGTATGTAATGAAGCTTATGGCCTGTGTGTGACTGCATAGTTTTTAACAAGGAGAACCCAGCAAACTCATTCCTTTCTCGATCTGAGGAATCACACAGCTCACATCAAGATACAAGAGTGGAACTGGGGTGATTCCTAACTTCCTTTACCTCATGTCCATCGTAGCTACTTGAACAGTGAAAAGATCTGGGTCTTTGTTCCTTTGTTTTCCCAGGGGAAAAAAGTTAAAAGAGTAGTTTTGTAGATCTCAGACTCTCTCTTGAATTATTTTATTACAAGCCTAAGGGGAGGGGAAAGGCTATACTGAGTGTAGTTTCTCTTTAAATGTCCTGTCCTGTCCATGTT